TACTGTTTAATATATTTTTTTTTTTGGTTATCATCCCAAATGGTATTATCTAATATATAAAAGAATCCATTGCAAATGGAATGCATTTTTCGTCCCTGTACTGAAACTGAAATAAATAAATAGTTACGTATATTACATAAAATATATCTTGAGACCTATACAGCTGATTGCTAATGGAAAAACGGTTTATATGAGGAATTGTTATACTTTCTACTTTATTTCTTTTATCAAGATGTAACGAATAGTCTGAGTGATCACACACGTCATTCTTCTGGAATCTAGGTTCCGACCGCTATAACCATGTGTGACATTATAACTTTAATTTTTATCGAATTTCTAATCAAAATCTCGTATTTTGAATTGTGTAGTAATAGTTATATACAATGCAATATTATTAATCTCTACTTTATTGTATTATCTTTTGAGCCATGGTAAAATATTTAAAATAATTTTCGGTTGGGTTTTGATTTTATTTACTATTGAAGAATAATTATCACTTATTTATTTTTGTTTCTTATTATATAAATCGAATAACCTATAAAAATATTTATACAACAAGTACAAGTGATAGATAAAGCAATATGAAATATTAAGGTAAAATAAATTACTCAGGCACCGAACTTTTCAAGTTAAAACTTCTAACAACTTCTCTGACACTTTTTTCCAAGAAAACGGAGTACTACAAGGTTTATCCACTTCTGTCACTTTTTTCCTCATCGTCATCAATAAATCGTCATCAAAGAAATAACAACTTATGTTATATTCTGACGACTTTAAATGCTCTGCCACAATATAAAATCTAATTACATTCAGCATTTCATATCAAACTTAACAAACAAGCTCATCTCTTGTTCGAAATTATCGTCGAATAATTTAATCCTCCTAAACCAAACCTCTTATTCTTTAACAAAAAGTGAAAAAAAAAACCATAAAATCTCTATCATCTTTGGAGACCACAAAATCCAGAACCAATCCAATATCAAAGAAAGAATAAACGGAAAAGTAGCAACTAGGATGCCAAGGCTACCCCTAGACATCACATTTCATCTAAAACAAACACTGAATAATATATATATGTACAAAATATGATATCGAAAAAATAATACCCGCTAAAACCTTTTTATGTCCACACTGGTGTTTTTCAATAAACATCAATTTGGAACTGTACACACTCCCCATGAAATCAACAATGCCTTCACACATCTCAAACTCATATTTACACAGATCGCGTTGGGATTGCCATCATTTATGAAGATAACTAAATCTAATGGAGACTATCCGATAAATAGTTCATAAATACAATTAGAGTATATTACTATAATTACTATATATCTAATAAATAATTATATATATATGTTACGGGCAAAGTATACAATTTAGGCATTTTATACATTGTCCGGACAGTATATAAAATGCCCTTCGTATATTGGGCAATATAGATAACAGATGATATGATTTAATGAAATATGATAAATCAATGAATAATGACATGTATTTATATTATTGATTAATTCATCTCAGTAGATATAATATATTACACCATCAATCCTTTTTTGGCTGTGATTCCTTTTTTTTTACATGATTCGCAACTATTTAAGTATAGCATAATTATATCTCTGATGATATTTTTATATTTTGTATTTACCTCGTGTTTCATCTTATTTCGTCCACCATGTCCAATCAATAAATGTACATAATATTTAATTTTGTTGTTTTCAGATACTGATATAATTATCGTATTAATATCAGAAACTTTTAAAACGTCATAGTTTTTTAAAAGTTTATAATCATTCGGTTCCTTTTTCTTTGAATTGTTTTTTAATTGATTTTTATGTAAAATTAATTGATCAAATTTTAACTTGGTAAAAAATGAAGTATTTGAACCTTTCTTTTAAAAAAAAAAAAAAAAATGTTTAAATCTTTATTAAACTTTTCCATATTCGAATAAGTAGTTAGATATGCACTGAATGAATTAACCTGCACTATACAAACGATTCACGATTACTAAATAGTTCATTTTTGAGAATAGGTAAAAGGCCGACTGCACGATAATCACTACAACTTCATATAATATAACTTATAAATCAGTAAATATAGTAATAATATATTATGTCACGTACACGCGTATAATATGTGGACCAGCGGACATCCCCATAGTAAAAATACGATAAGAACAAACAAATTAGTTACAGATAATAATTTTTAGATAATAATTTGACTTTATTTTAACTATGTTTTACGATTTATCATATTTCATTAAATCATATCATCCGTTATCTAAATTGCCCAAATTGTATACTTTGCCCGTAACATATATTTACTATAGTCATTCTCAAAGTCACTGAATACACTATTGCAGAAATCAAACATAACAACATGACGATACATAATAATTTTTTATCGATCCTCGCTAGTCTCTAACATTTCACAACCCAATGGACATTGCGAGGATAATTCAGAATGTCCATTATAGTGCACAATTATCTTCAAAGAAAACATTTCACACTTATGGATTCCTAGTCACTGTAGTATCGATAACAACGAACGTATGTACACAACCACCAAATAAGCTCATTTATTCTTCGATGCTTGTATCTAGCATATCTAGGCACCATAATCAGGGCACCAAAACGTTTTATAACGTTATGAGTATAACATTAAACATGAGGGTTTACATGAGGGTATTCTACATGAGGGTATTTCAACCGTTATAAGTCTCAATATATATATATCTGTACTTTGTATTTATTTATGTATTTATATATTAATGTTTTTCATTTATATATTTACTTTATTATATTTGTACATGTACAAGTTTTATACTGTAACGTCTCCTATGGCCATAGTAGCCGCGGATTGTGAAATAATAATAATAATAAAAAAAAAAAAATTAAATTATATAACATTTCATATAAAGATTGCTGTCATGGATGAAAAAGCCATTTACAGACAGAATTTTATGACATGGCATGGTAGTAGTTAATCACACAACAGGTCGTGATATCTGGTTTATTTTAGGTGCCTTCTGGGGTAAAATGAAAAATAATATTTTATCAATTTTATTCATACATTTGTTTCTAGTGTATCATTTAACATGTGTTATAGAATTATACGTATTCCCACTGATTACTCTTTTAATGTTGAAAATGTCTTAAAATCGAGGTTATTTGCAGGGTTTATCGAATACTTCTATTTACGATCGAAACTATAAATACTGAATCAGATCAATAGATAGTACTGAAGAAAATAAAATAAGTGAAATACATTGGTATTTTTGATTTTTTATGATAATAATTATGATGAAATTAAATTTTTATTTCACTATGCTGTACTAGCGATGGATCCGCACTAAAAGGTAGAGACCTATCTTATATCATGCCAAAGTTAACATTTTACAATACATGACCTACTCATTTATCTATTTTATATTTTAAATTGATGATTGAAGCTGATTTTATTACAAAATAATCAGCAATAAATCGTAGTATTATAATTATATATTTATTCACATTAAATTAAAATATAAGTGTGGCACCAAGGTCTCCTTTTCAAACTGAAATCCATATTCCCTCCCTACTACTATCTATTATTCAAATCATACCTCGAAGACAGGAACTTTACTGTACGCTCTGGTTCAGCCTTATCTGAAATAAATCCCATCCACGCTGGAGTTCCCCAAGGCGCCGTAGTAGCCCCACTCTTATTCAACCTATACATCTCCGACCAACCAACAACCAACCATACGATCACAGGTGACTTTGCCGATGACAAAGCTATTATGGCGCTTAACTCAGACCCTGAAATAGCCTCCAACCACGTTCAAGTCCATTTAAATCTCCTCCAAAACTGGTACAGAGATTGGGGGATAAAAATAAACGAATCAAAATCAGCCCACTGTACATTCACTCTAAGGTCTAGAAACTGCCCTACCATAACCCTTAATAACATACCCATTCCACCCACACAAAATGTCCGGTACCTTGGACTCCACCTGGATCGTCGATTGACCTGGGCCCACCACATCCATACCAAAAGTATTGCCTTGAATAACCGATCCCGTCAGCTACTCCTTACATCTAAACACATTAATCTGAACAACAAAATACTTATATATAAACTGCTACTAAAGCCCGTATGGTTATATGGTATATAACTTTGGGGTTCAGCCAAACCATCTAACATAAATAAAATTCAAATATTCCAATCTAAATGCCTTCGACAAATTACCAAAGCCCCCTTTTACGTCTCAAACGATACACTCCACAAGGACCTGTCTATTCCAACAGTTCAACTCGTAGCCAAAACTCTGTATAAACGATTCCACTCAAATCTCTCCAACCACCGTAATCCTCTAATCTCAAACTTATCCACCCTCAGCATTCCAGGTGACTCTGGACGACGTTTGAAACGAAAATGGTGTCGGGACCTCCTGACTGAATAAAACCCATCCGCAACTCCAAAGAAGTCCCATCACTGGATGGGTTCTTCGCTCAAGTCTTCAGTCTTCTTATATAAATCTACTACAACACTTACACTTATTGTAAAAATAATATATTTACAGATTGTGTAATAAAAAAAATAAAAAAACAAAAAAAAAAAAAAAAAATTAAAATACTATTTGAAGAAAAAAGAATGATTAATAATTCTCTGTACAAAAATTTTTTTCGTTCACTTTAATTTTTTTCCCTCAAATTATTTTACTAAACCTTTCTACTAAAAAAAATTACTCAAACATTGATCAAAAATTGTAATTGTAACTCGATATGAAACAATTGATATGTAGTACAATTTTTATACAATAGTACATTACTATCATACAGAATACTTTATTATTTTACATAGTACATTAGTACATCGAAGTATTGATTGATATTAAAAGCATAGAAGCTACTCATGTATATTGATCAATATAATTCTTAATTGATGTATCTACAGTAAAAAATATCGTAATTGAACAACATATAACGGCGGAACGGTGCATTACATTTTATGATACTCACGTGTTAATTATTTCTGCCAACTTTCCCTCCAATGACAAATTACTTTCATGTTTTCGTACGCAATAAACATGCATAACATATTGAGCTAAAACAAATAATCACAAATACAATATTGTAATTTTAATATGTATATCTGTAACTGTACGGTTTTTTTTTTTTTTTATACAAATAAAACTAAAGAAACGCTCTGATCGACTTGATCAGTTTGTTAAGTCAAGTATTTGTTCCAAAATTTGACATTTAAAATTGTATTGTTTTACTATTGTATCTCGTTTTTAGGTTTTTACATCGCAGTTGAATATCTTTAATAATATGAAAATACGATTGCATGCATTTACGAATACTATTTAACAATAGTAATTTTTCAATTTAACATAATTTATAAAAAAAACCGTGGTTTTCATACCAGAAAATTCAGTCCCAATGAACAACTAGGGAGGATTAGGAATATTTGACCCTCTATCCACTAAAATAAATATTTAAAATGAGGCTAAGTTGTTTTCCAATATGCGTTATGTATAAATAATATACTTATAAAAAATTTAAATATTTTACTCGTAAACCATACTCATAAACCGAACTTAATCTTACCCCATTTTCCCCGCTAAACATTTTCCAAAATCGATTTTTTTTTACGTGTACCCCAGTGTAAACCCCTCTTTCCATAGAAATATCTTAGAAATTGCACCATTGAAAAGGCCTATATTATCGTTCGATAAAATCATTTCAATTTTTCCAACTATATTTAAACGAGTTATTACGTCATGAAGTACATTTGGATTTATAAAAAATGCATTATAAATGCATGCGATAATAATATTTAGTTCATGTTATATTTCAACGCACACTTATCACTAGTTACAATAAAAACGTACAATAAAGTACTTGTCACTCACAAATAAATTACGATAAAGTGACGCGGACCGCGTGGCAACCGTTATCGTAACGGCCGTCAACGGCCGTGTCAATCTTTTCTGATCGAATACCAGTCCGCAGTGCGCACCGTCAACGCGACACCCACAGAGCGGCTCGTCAAAGGAGACTTTGAGACTGTGTCTTTCCCTAAAAAAAAAAAAATAAAACAGATACTTATAAATAATAACTATTTAAAAATATATAGAAATATTTTTATTTTTATTGAAAATAGTCGTATGTTATAGTGTTTTCTAATTTATTATTATAAATTTAAGGCCACAAAATATAAAACCTATAAATAATTATTTCGATGGAAATACTATTTTAGTAATTTCGACGACGGTTGCCGTTTCAGTGAAACTGACGTCCGACTTGTTCAATCGTAACATGTAATAGTTTGACTTGTTGGACTAAGGGACCGGGAAGAATAATCCACCTATTATAGACGCTATTGAAACTGGGTTCACGACAATAATTCCCTTGTCATCGTGCCATCGTTAGTCGTCGTACACCGTCATCTACAAATTCGCAGATAAAACAAATTGCAAAATTTAATTAGTTTATAAAAAAATGTACCATAAATTAAGTTTAAAATATTAACTAAATATTAAATTAAATATTAAGTTTAATCAATTTTCAATTATTTATGTGATGTATTTATGTTATTGGTATATCGGAGATAAGTAGCTAAAATTTGTACGAAGGCCGTTTTCAATACTTATAAACTTTCAAAAGGTGCCTAGTAAAAATGTATTAATTTTTCGGTGTATTAATATAGTTTAAGATAGTTTTTAATTTTAAATTTAATAATAATTGATCATAACATAATTTATAAATACGTACTAATTATTAGTTTATTAAATTAATTAGTTACTTAAAAAATAATTAAAAAAAAAATAATATAAATAACGGCCAGGATCGCATAAAATGGTTAGTGAAGCTGAGGTTCAGAGTTACTCATCCATGAAGGATGCAGTAAACTGTGTATAGCAGTGTTTCCCAAAGGGTGTCCCGCGGCACACTAGTGTGCCGTTAAATTTGAAAGGTGTGCCGCCACAACTTGAACTTTTTTTTATAAAAAATCATAAAATGATTTTTTTCAAAATATTAAAATATATAATACAAATAAAAATAATTAATACAAAAATTAACTTTAAAATTACAAAAAAAAAAATATATAATTATAAATTTTAGTGTGAAATGTGTACTTGATGTTGTTTGCATAATAGTTCAATTCTAGGAGGGATCGACGATAAACATACTCGCATTTCTTGTTCAACTGATAAAAGTCGTTCATGTTTCTTATTTTTAATATTATTTAGTGCGGAAAACCTAAGTTCACAGAGATCTATTGTAGAAAATGGTAATAATATATTTATTGCAATTTCTGTAATTATCGAATACTCAGTTTTAATAAAACTCCAAAACTGAAACAGTTTAAGTTCATTAAATTTTAATTTCAATGAACGATCAGATTGAAGTTCTAAAAGTTATTCTTGTTCAACTAATTCTAGATGTGATATTACATCTGATGTTACAGCAAAAGGATTGCGCACCCAATCATATTCGTCAATAACCAAAGATGGGAAATATTTTGTCATTTTTTTTTTTTTTAATTATAAGATGATTTTTTATCAAATCAGATGTTATTTCTCCATCTGGTTCAATATTTGCTGTTAATGGAAACATTTGCAGTTGTTTTTTTTCTACGTGTGATATTCAAAGATTAATTTTTCGTAAAAACCCATTTAATTTATCAGATGATGTTAATATGTTTTCATCTTTACCTTGCATATTGGAATTAAGGATATTTAAATGGTTAAAAATATCAGCTAGATAAGCAAGTTTTGCAGACCATAATGGATTATTTAATTGAGTTACGAAATCGCTGTTTGGGTCTTCATTATTGAACAATTGCAACAATTCATTTTTCATTTCATAAAATCTGTTTAAAACCTTACCTTTTGATCACCATCGAATTTCAGTATGTAAAACTAAAACTTCATAACGAGAACCAGCTTCTTCACATATTTTTTTGAGAATTCGTGTTTTAAGAGCTCTTGATTTAATATAATTTACCATTTTAATTGCCAAATCAAGAACATTTTTTTCTTTTTATATTTAAAAACTTATCTATAGTTATTATAAAACAAACGTCGCAAAAATTCAATAAAATTTAGCTTGTCGTGGTGTGGTTTAAACGTAATCGAGAAAACGGTATCGAGAGATAATAATATTATTACCTAATAACAATCATTATAAACCTATTATTCGATAAGTAGATAATATTTATCCAAAGTGTGCCGTGACTTATAAAAACTAATAATAATGTGCCGCTATGGGAAAAGTTTGGGAACCACTGGTGTATAGAGTATTGTATAAACTAAACCATAAAAAATATACTATTTAGTTTGTTATGATCAGGATTATTAATTTAATACAATCATGAATGGTAAAAAAAAAAATTATGAACTAATTAGTTCAAATTGGAAATTATAAATAACAAAATCTTCATATTATATATACTTATATATATAAATATACACGTAATATGGACTGAAAATTGCAATACGTAAGAATTTATATACACCTCATCGATTTTACTATTAAAACAGCACAATTTTATATTTTTTTGGTTGATAAAATATATTTTAAATATAAATAAAATAAAGAATGCCTTAAGGCAGGGCCAGTGAGAACTTTTGAGGGCTCCGGGGTTTATGGGATCCAGGCATCCTTTACTTACACTTGTTTGGCTAAGTTATACATGTTTATACATACTTATACATATTTTGGTACAGTAAAAATATTAAAATTTTCATTTTTCAGTACTTATTAATTTAATAAAATGATATATGATACATGGAGCTTGCAGGAATATAAATTTAAAGAGTGTATGCATGGAGAATGGCCAGTGTAAAAAATAATTCCCTAAATTGTTTTCAAGTGTTACAAAAGAAAACTAAAATGGATATCCTATGTATATGAGAAAAGATAACAACTGAATAATAAGTTAAACAGTGAACAGAAAATATATTAATACTGATAATACGAATAGATATGTAAACTGTATAATCCCTTTTTATTAAAGTACGTTGAAGCTCATATTAATGTAGAAATTTGTGCAAGTGTCCACAGTATTAAATACTTACCAATATTATATGTATAAAGGTCATGACTGTGGTAATATCCAAATTACTATTGACCAAAATGCAATAAATTATGTTGAAGTCTCAATTTATTGAAATACAAGATAAGTTGGACTATGTGAAGCAGCTTATAGGATATTTTCATATAATATGAAAGTAGTACGACTCGCAATACATTTGTCCAATGAACAAATGTTTGCAAATATTTTTATTTTTCAAAGATCTTATAACGGTAATGTTTTTTGGGAAGCATTTAAACATAAAATTAGTGAAAAAAAACTTTATAATATTTTTTAATGCTATTATTGCTTATGATCACAATTTATCAGATATTTTAGCAAAATTAAAATTGCATGGACAGTCATTGACTTTTGTTTACCAAAGTATAATGTTGCTATTATAAGTAGCGAATCAAATCAAAAAAATATATTGCATATTTTATTGATGGACCTGAATGTACAGAGAAAACATACATCTACAAATGCCTCATTAACAAATTTATGGAAATTAGTTATGTTGTAATTTCGGTTGCTTGGATTGGAATAGCATCAATGTTATTACACGGAAGATTCGCAGTACATCGTAGATTTAAATTACTATTGATTTTGATAAATTCCAAATACTACATTTTCGTCTTTGGAAGTTAATAACAAAGAGGCACTATTTATAACTGTTCAAAAATTAAAACTAATTATTTCGGATGAAGTTCCTATGGCAAGTGCGTATACATTAATGGTTGTTAATCAGTTATTAAAATATATAATGGAAAAATATATTTTCTTTGATGGAAAAGCTATTGTCTTCGGAGGAGATTATAGACAAGTTTTACCAATTGTCCCACATGACTCTAGACAGCTTAATATTCAAAACCGTATAAAATTTTCTTCGAATTGACTACGCCACATTTTATAATTCTTACCTACTAATTGTAGAGTTCAATCTAATGAATAATACAAGATTTATTATACAAAACATTTACGGCTATTCTTTAAACTTAGAATCTATAACTGGTCAAGAAACTGACTAGTGTATTTTATTACCTAGAATTGATTTGAACACATATAATCTTTTTTTTTCATTTAATAGCCATAAATTTTCGATAAGAATAGCTATTGCTATGGCAATAAAGAAAACACAAGGTCATACATTAGATAAAATAGGGTTGTATTTACCTTTGCCTGTATTTAGTCATGGTCAACTTTATTTTCCAATGTCCAGAATTAGATTTTTTGAAAAATTAAAAATACAAATAATACCATACAACGAATATAGTTTATAAAAAAATTCTATAATCATAATACAAAAATTCATTGAAATTTATATTTGCTTATCTATTTATTTGTATTGATTGAAATATTAGCAGTTTTTCCGAATGTAAATATCTTGCGTATATTTATAAATGTAATATATATATTAATACATAGGAAATTAAATAATTGTCCATTTTATGTTTTTCTTAAACATTAATTGCATATTATTATAACAATATATAGATAATTTATATTTATTTAATAAATTATTTATTATTTATTATTTATTTATTCATTTAATTAAACAACAATCTAATTTCTTTACTGTTATCCGGCATCGGCGGGTAATTCAGCTACTTTTGTATAAAGGCTGAGACGACAGTTCCTCTCAGAATTATGGATCGCAGGGCTCTAGCCCTCCCAGCTTCCCTCTTTAACCGTACCTGTCTATATGTATCTCAGTAAAACCCAGTATATTAAATATTTGAATAATTTCAAAGTTAAGTATCATTCGGTGTACTAATAAATTTAAGTGCATGAAAAGTGAATATAAATTATAAAGTTGAGATAAATAGAAAAAAGTAAATTGATAATAAAATAATTCTTTTTTAGAAATAGCTTTTATTTTTTTTAAAATATTCACGAATCTATGGCTATGAACAAAATTGACTAAATATACGAAAAAAACAAATGAGTGCATTATTTATATGAATTAATAATTGAAAGTAGGGTAAGATTACGTTCACAT